CGTCTCGGCTGTATCACAGGTGAGTAGTTCAAGAGTGCTGAGGCCACTTGAGTGGAAGGGAAGATAAATTGCATACAACATGCACAGCCAGTAATAGGGATCCCTCTGCCGTAGACGTCACAATCAGCTTAGAAGTTTTGGCAAATAGATTAACATTTTCACTTCTGTTCCTGTTTAGAATGAGATGTCAGCTCTGGCCCAAGTAAGGCAAGATTTGTTCTTGTACACATCTGAATTGGTGCCCTCTGGCATAGTAGTGTAGGAGTCAGTTGGTTCTACACCTCTTCTTACCATAATAACCATGCACAAGCTACTTATTACTCATAGGGTTATTGTGAGGATCAAATACATTAATAAAAGTGGGTTTCATAGTGCTTCACTTGTAATAGGGCCTCCATAGATGTGAACCTTTATTAGACAACTTATTGATGGACTTACCATCTCATCTGATATATATTTCTTGAGACTGGGGCTTAAGTTTAGTTACATTGGGCGAAGTATAATTTACATACAACAAGGTACATAAATCTCTAGTGTCATTTAAAGGCTTCACAAATGCATACTCCTATGCAACCCCAAACTCTGTCTGAAACATGTTCATTACCATAACCCCAAAAAGTTTTCATATGCCTTTTCCCAATCAGTTCCCACTCCTCTAGATGCATTTGCTACTTAATTGTTACTTTTTCCACCATAGGTTATTTTGCATTTTCTAGAATTGCTTTGAATGGAGTTGTATAGTTTATATTCTTTTGGGTTTGGCTTCTTTGTCTAAGTGTAATGTTTTTATATCTACCCAAGCTGACCTTATCAGTAGTGGCTTTCCTTTTATTGTTATTTAACGTCGTACTGGATGAAAAGACCACAGTTTATCCATTCTTTTACACTTTTTCCTCTTTCTGTGGCTATTGTGCACAAAGCTGCTATAATCGTTCTCTTTTTCTATACTTCTGTTTCCAAAGTGTGTGATTTACATATCTTTTAAATAGCTTTCTGAAATCTTTAAAAAATATTAACTGTAAAATTAGTTTTGTTAATTTTCATCTCTCTTGGATAAAATATTTTAGAATGTAATTGCCGAGACAAAGATAGTACATGCTTAGTTATGCTTAGTTTTATGAGAACTTCCCAAACATTTGAAAAGAGAATACCATGTTATACTCCCCCAGCAATAGGTGAGAATTCTGGCAGTTCTAGGTATTTGTCAACATTTGCTATTGTTAGTCTTTAAGTTTTAGTCAGTTTAGTGAGTGTGGTGTAGTGTTAATTTGCATTTTCCTGATGAATACTGTTGTTGAGTATTTTTTTCATTTTCAATAAGCCTTTCAAATTAGATATGTTTATTAGCTCTTCATTTGCAAAATGTCTGTTGAAATCTTTTATACATTTTTTCATTGGTTTGTTTTTTTGTTATAGGTGATAGAACTTCTTTATATTTTCTAGTTACAAGTTCTTTGTCAAATAAGTATTTGGAAGCATTTTTCAGATCTGTGGCTTACTTGTTCATTTTATTAACTGTGTGTTTTGGTGAACTGGTTTAATCTTTCTACATGCCTGCTATCTCAAGCATGATTGAAAATTGATAATATTTACTGAATGAGAAAGCTAAAAGTTGCTCCTTCTTCCTTGCCTCCTTTCTTTATTCAGTTTTACTTAATGATTACCTACTGTGTGGCAACCTCTCTTTCGTGACTTGTCTATAGAGCAGGAAACAACACAGACAGGTTTCCTATCCTCATGGAACTTATATTCTAGTCTATATTTTGTATGTGGAGGTAAGGTGGGAGACAGAAAGCAAATAAATAAACAGGAAAATATGAGGTAATTATAGATATACTATAATGCAAAAATGCACTGTATACATAATAAGAAAGGAATGCTCACAGGACTTTTTCAGGTTTGAGGATCAGAAATCTGAGGAGATGTTATTTAAGCTGAGACTAGAACGATAAGTCATTTGGAGGAAAGGAATGCAGGCAGGTGAATCTGGAGGAAAGGAATGCAGACAGGGGAATCAGCTAATAATAAGGTCTTTAAGTTGATTGGGGGTTAGGTGCAAACAATATAAAATACTCCATTAAGCAAACTAAGGCGTTAGGGGTGGGTTGCTTTGGAAATGACCATAACTGGAATAAGCTGTTGTTAGATCCTTCCTCTTTCTTAGTACTCTTTCTTTAGTATTTAGCAGTTTCTTGATAACCTTTCTGCCCACCCTCTCCATCCCCACCACTTCCCAGCTCCTAGGTTCCCAGATGATTTGTGTATTATCTGACACACTGGTCAACAGGGTTAAGGATAGGTCAGCAATTTTTTCTCTCAAAGGTGACCAAGTGATCAAGTGTCAAATAAATCATAACTTGTGTTTGTAAGAGAGCAAAATACAGAATCTCTGCTTTTTATGTTCATATTGTATAATGTAAAACTATGAATACAATATCAGTTTGGTAAAATGGTGCATTATTCATTTCTAAATTTTTAGATTTTGAGAGAGATGGCAAAAAACATGTCAGGACAAGGTGGTGGAAAATGGAGATATATAGAATAAACTAGAATGAAATTTGTAGGTGAATAAATGAGGGCATATCAAACAAGAGGAGGAATAAAAGAATCCTAGAAGTAGATAGAGAAGCTGAGAGGAAAAATAGGTGAAAGGGAAGCCAGAAGTTAGTCTTTTTTTTTCTTCAGTGAGTGTGTTCCTGTCATATTCGTGTGCTTTTGGTTTGTGGACATCACTGTAGGGTATTGCTTCTGTTGAAAAATGTGATGCTCTCTAGTAATATTCAGCACACACCTTCTTTTCTGTTTTCAGTGTGATGAGATGATTTATGTTCTATATTAATGCCCAATTCCTGTCATGATTTATTTTCATGATTTCCTTCCACAAGGCTGTTTTTTTCCCTCTAATCAAAAAGCAGATATCCTTTGAGTTAATACTATACGTCTAGTACCTATTTTCCCTTATCACAGTTGGAGAGTTGCCTTCAACCAAAATCATGCCTTCTGGTCAATAATGACTGTGATTTATCCTAAGGACAAGCTCCATGTCTGTTGTCAGGCTTTTGGACCCCAAAAATATGTGGCCCGAAAAGACTCATGCTAAGCAAACATGGTATATAACTGAGTGGGTCAAGCCAGGCCCTGTAGAGATCAATCAACAAGCTGCATGTGAAATCACAGACCATTTGGCTAATGATTTTTCTGTACTTCAATAAAGGCTTACAGAGTAGTTAGCTGTGGGTTACTGGGCTCCGCTGTGGTCAGAACTGCTGGGAACAGAGCAATAATTGATTAAGCATAACCTAAAGGAGCGAGATGGATAACTGCCCCTAATACTTCCTGCTAAGAAAAGCTTGACTGAGGCTAGAAGGCGGAAATCAGTCAAACTTACAGGACTGGTATATATGTATTTATTATATTATTATGATGAGGATGTATTTATAAGTCATATAGTGGAGATATATACTTTAGTAGATGGAAAATTACTGATAGACTATAGCAGGCAGAACAATGTGTGGAAGCAGGATAAGTAATCAGGGGAGAGAAGAACACAAGAGACTGTGGTGTAGGTTCACGGGTGAACTGGTGGTGGGGATTTTATGGGGACTACACAATGATGTAAAAGACATAAATAAAAATATAAATTGTAAACAAATTAACAACAAAGAAACCAATTAAAGGAATTTAGCAATTCATGTAAGACATGTACCAGCTCACCAGAACAGAAAGATCTTTTTAAAATAAAAGAGGAGACAGTCTGACCCCCCAAAATTAATATAGACTTTGCACTTTTGGGGACTCCAAGTCCCAACTCATCTCCCTTGTTAGATCAATTAAAGGTTACAGAATTGCCATGTGAAACCTTGGGGCATATATGGATGTGAGTGTCCTAGGTAAATAAAGGAGAAAAGCTGAATAAATACAATTATAAAACAAATGAATAACCAATATGAGATATATCAAATTGCTAAAAGCTTGCAACTTTTATAAACTCATTTTAAGGGGGTCAGGGGATGATAAATCAGACAGATGGGACAGGTAGATTATATTGGACAAATACCTATATTTTTAAATAAGAATATTGCCTTATAGAAGTATAAGTAAGAGGGTTTTCTCAGTAAGAGGGTTTGCCAAGCACACCAAACACGCAGATGAGAGTAGGTATGACCATGGCTTTAGATAAAGTTGGAGCAACTAGATTTCAGAGATGGAATTTTGGGAGTAATGGGAAATGACCAAAAAACAAACTTTATCACAGAAGTTGTTCAACATTTTAAAAAAGATGTGGGTCTTTCATTTACCCTAAATCCCCCAGGCTGTAGGCACAATTGAAAACGTGAATGAATGGATTATTAAGAACACAGAAATAATTTTGCAGCATCAAATATAAATGGTGACAAAAAATACAAATGGTGACCAGGCAGAAAGCTAATAAAGATAATTAATTGAAAGTTTCTAAGTGAATGTATGGTCCTCAATAGACCTGTTCTAGAAAGATGGACAAACTACCTATGCTTACTTTGTTCTCAAAATGGCTTAAGACAGACCATGAGAAGGGTGAAGGAAAGTGAGTATGAGTAAAAGGTCCTCATAAGGTCATCAAAAAAGGAAGAACAGTAGCTGGGGTTACCCTTTCAATCTGTAGGATGGATAAAGACTGAAGAATACTAATCTTTATTTCTCTTTTCTATTATTAGATCTGCTTTGCTGTTTTGTCTTGGCTGTGACAATTTGATGGTCATTGTAATAAGAGTTCACTACAAGTACAAACAAGATTTTCATATGTAAACTTTGTAGGAGGTTCAGCATTATCAAAAAGTGCTGTGGGACCATTGGCGTCATTCTGTACTTGACCACCGTCATAATCATTTCAATAGCCTAATTTCTCGACCAAATCAACCACAGAACTATTGCCAGCTTCACAAGCTCCAGTGTCATCAAGAACCCAACCCATTTGTGTCAACTTTTAGAAATATTTTATCTACTAAGAAGAGCAACAAGGGATGGAGTCTGGATCAATCCCTGTATTGTTTAGTGGGCTTGTTGATTGTATAGCTCAGTTAATAAGAATAGCTGAAGAGCTTTTACAGCTGATTTCCCAAGAGCGAGGTCCTCATGTAGAGCTGAATGATAGAGTAGAACAGATAGAAGTAGATCCTGCTGAGGAAGCGTCATTACCAGACCTTTCTAATTTCTTAGATTTAGAATCAATACTTACACCAAGAGAAGATGAAGACCTAATATTTGATATAGATGAAGCCATGCTAAACATAGAAGAATTATATGAAGATGTACTCTCTGGTATGAACAATGAGTTAAGAAGTGGATAAGACCTAATTTGCCCTCACTAGCATGTGAGAATTGATCATTTCTCTGTTTTAAACATATTCTGATTTTTATTGCATATTAGCAATGCAAGTTTTCTCCTAGTTCTGCACATTTTCATTACTAACACCACATAGAAGCAGTAATAGTTGATATACTTTGAGCAGAACTTTTACACTTCTTTTGATTACTTTAAAAGTTCTGCCTTAGTCACGTAGCTCTTCCTTTACCTTTACTTTTCCTGCTGTGATCCCTGTGCAAACAATCACAAAGAAAATTTCTACACCTAAGGAGAGAAGACCTATTGAATTCTGTGATAGCTTGGGACCCAATTTCACTGTTGTATAATGAGTGGAAACTAAGTGAGTTTCTCCAAGATGTTATTTTCAGTTATGCCCCCAATTTTCATAGCTTTCTGGTAACCCAACTTTTTCAAAAAAGATTTATGTTAGTAACTGTTTTTGATAGCCAAAAACAAATCTGAAATGCATTTTTTGCTTTTATGGTAGAAGGTGAAATATAAAAGTAGCATTTAGCATTTAGCATTTGTTTTGCGGCAGCTATTCTAAAAGCAGTACATAGCCTAGCAGCAAGCATGGTGCCTCCAAGCTTCTTCCTTGGAAACTATTTTATATAGGCTGTATATGTTTCTTTTTGGAAAAAATTGAGTTAATATTAATTTGCAACACTGTATTGGCTTCAAGTAGAAGTTTCTCACCACAGCAATACTATGCTCATCACCAAATATCTAGTTACCATCCACCAAAACCAGTTAATTCCTTCTACCTTTGCCATTTCCCCAACCTTCCTCTCTGGTGATCATGACTCATTCAGAAAGAGAGATGAAATATTGTCATTTCAAATAACATACAGGCTATGTATGTATATCATCCCTGCTTTTACTAACTGTTTCTGTTACTGTAGGTAGTATGTGTTATTTGGTAGGTTATTTTTTGGGGTCTGGGAACACTCAAGCATTTTCTATATAAACTGTAATCACTTCCTTGCTCTCTGCCATTTTGATTTATGAAAGATTTCATAGTAAAAGTCTACTTCCAGATCATGTGGGAAGTCTATAGAGTGAATATATTTACATTAACGGGACAATATTGAAGCACTTTTATTTGAGAAGATTTAATGCCTTTTGAGAGGTTTAATGACTTTATGAGAGAATGTGTCAACCACAGACTGTTAGAGCTGAATCCAGGAAATACTTTTGAAAAGGCAACATTGACTAGATGAGGAATCTGCAAACAGGTTTTTAGATAACTTTTGCCAGAGAAGAACCTTTGAAATAGCTGAGGTCAAGAGGTTCCAATGTAGGACTGTTCACCCACATGCTGCCCTAAAATCGAACTACTCTATAATATTGTTCCCTAAGTGGAAATGACAAATTATACTGAAGGGCTAGACAAAGCTTGATTAGGACTCGTCACCAAGGGAAAGTTAAACACTTTAGACATTAGCATGGAAATGATTGTCCACAAGTAGTTTATAAGGCATTTTTTTCTTGGTTTTGGTTAAGTGATAGAGAATAATTAATTGGCTTATTATAATGAACCTGTTGTAAACTTGACAGAAATCTTAACTATTGAGATATAGGAAAAATAGTGAATTTAAACAAAGTGTGGTTTGGCGCTAACACATCTCCAGGTGGTAGACGGGGGAAATGCAATAGTTGGAGGATCCCCATATCCAAACAGACAGGGACCAAGGAAATGTGTCAGAGACTCACTGACCATACTAGTTATAGGTCATATAGTCATTTCCATTTGGAAAAATAGCTACCCTTCAGTCAAGCCCATGGAAACTATAGTCTTTCTAGAAAACGGCTTTTGCATCTTGTGACATGAACAGCAACTAGGCAAAGACCTAAGAGTGTACCAGTGGACAAAATAGTATATCTGATTTTAAAGAAATGACATGCATTATCACTCTACATTGGTAGAAACCAAACTATACCAACTCATATGTAATATACCCTCCTAACCCGTGATCATCTGTGTCCAAACCTATATAGACAGAGAGCACATATGAGTGCACATTCAAATAGTTTTTATTACAAAACAGTCATTCTATTTTTTAATAGTCATTCTATTTTATTATTTTTTTATTAAAGTGCCTAATTTGTAAATCAGACTTTATCATAGATGCATATATGTAGGAGAGATACAGTATATATAGGGTTCAGGACAGCCTGTGGTTTCAGGCATCCACTGAGGGTCTTGGAATGTATCCCCCACAGGTAAAGGGGGACAGCATATTAAAGTCAAAGTAGTTAAGCATACTATAATCAAAGGAGTTAAAGAGACAACCAAGTTACAGATGTTGCATGCACAGAAAACTAGATACCTTTGAAGATAAAGGGGGGAAATCAGACTATATTACCAGGTCTTCTTTGCATAAGTAGTATCAGAAGTCAGTTTTGCCACTGAATTTCAGGATAAGTTTGTTTAGCAAAGTTAAGAAAGAGACTGCTGGATGAAGAAAAACTACTGTTGTCCCTTTTGAAAGTAAAATTTAGCAGTTATCAAACATATTAGTATGAGAAAGTTCCACAGTGTTTGAACATGATCAGGAAAGATAAAGAGAGACCATTATTCCACCAGAGATTCTGCTTGGTGAGTAATTTAACTGTACATAAGAAGATCTGGGGGTCCTAAAATACAATTAGATACTGAAAGGCAGCTATTGTAGAATTCTGGAATGTGAACTTTATAACAATTCCACAGCAGATAAGTGAACTTGTTATAATTTATTACTCACAATAGAACACAACCATTCGAATTCAAGATCATCAAAATGCAGCAAGTGAAATCTGAGAGACTACCCTAGACTGACGTTGAAACAGGCTAAGATCCAAACCAGACTACATAATGATAAATGGTCAGCATAGCCCTGAGTTGACCTCAGAGGTCACCTAGAAGGAGTGTTCCGTAATGACACTTCAGGATTAGAGAAAGTGTACTGCAATGCTTACCTGGATTTTATGATTATATGTGTTTTAGGATTAAGATGTTACACTGCTCCAATTAATGGATCACTGTCTATTAAATATGTATACTCTAGGAAATAATTAGAAGTAGCATTAGTAGTGATAAGGAATAAGTGTAGGAGGTAAGAAACTATATAGGAACATAAACTAGTAGAGAAGGTATTTTCAGGAGAGAGCAAAACCATAATTAGTTGTCAAGATTAATATAGCAGTTTATTACTATAGTTAGTTCCTATATATAATATAGTACAGAGTTAGTTCATAAGGAGGTTTATGAACCAAGCCATTTTTTCGCATTTTTAAATTAACCAGCCCTAAGTTGTTGATCCTAGAGATTTTGTAATAATTGATACTAGAGATTTTATAGTAATAATAATTGATACTAGAGATTTTGTTGATAATGTAGAACTAACTGGTTGGAATTGACACAAATCATATACTTAAATACCTAATTAGACAGATATAGCAATTGGTGGTCTACTGAGTGGATACCTTTGGTTAGAGTCCTGCATCCCTCTTCTAGGAGAGAGGAGAGAGTGGCTAGTTCTTTATCCAAACTAGTCCTTTAATGGTTGTTCTTGAGACCAACACCAAAGCCAGTCTTGTATGACATGGAGTGACAGAGGAGACAGGCACATCATTCTGAGTCAGATTTAAATATGGAAAACCAAGGTAGATTGGCTGGTAGATGGCAGTGAATCAGGAAGCACAAGTCTGTGTCCCTCTATGCTTTGGTAAAGTGTGTGGGAATTTTTGACAATGTAGTTGTATTCTTATATGTGATTTCTTCCAGTTATTCGTTGACTAGAACCCTTATTAGCTATTGATCCATATCATTTTATTGTTAAGTGTTTTATCAGCTTAAAACTAATAAACTTTTACTTGCAAATCTAAGAACTTGTGGTTTTTAAATTACCTGGTGGTGAATTTGGAGGCTTAAACCAGCATGAAAGAAGCCCACTCAACAGCAGGTGGAGTATACTCTGAGAGCATATTTTGCCAGGATTTTGGAGTTCTACTCATGGACTTGTCAGATAATCTTGAATTTATCTCTGACATACAAACCTTTCTTGCTTGTAAAATGGAAGTTGCAGTAATTTTTCTGTCATCCTTCAGTGGGAATAAGGAACAAAGACAATGATACAGTTTTCAAAGCTTGTTGGTAGGTATGTCTGACAATGGGACAGACTATATGAAATCAGGACTTTTTAGGAATATCTGAAGGATGTATATATGGCAATGCCTGAAAGTCTATATGACATGTAAAGATTTTAGAATAGTTTTATAACTTTTCTAAGAGATTAGATCGCCATGTCAAAGTTATAGCTGAGAATCAGCTTTTGTTTCATTCTTCTGAGCTTGTCTTTATTTATTTTTTAAATTAAACCAAGTTTAATTCTTTTGGGGAGTCTGCTTGACTTCTGTTAGGAGTAGTTAAATTCCATGTAAGACTTTGATTTATTACTGTAGGTATTATGTAACGCTGAGCATTATAAAATCACTATTATCCAAGTAGATTTTTACAATTTCTTTTTTTTTTCATCTCACTTGACTGTTGTTTTCTTATACTGATAACTTTAGAGACTCGAAGTAGATAGCCATTTTCTCCTGTGCATATTCTTATTTTTTCAAGGATCCTGTGTTTACAAGGCCACATTTAAAACCTGCTTTTCTTCTGCTTTTCTGCTTATATGAAAACCAATCAACCAACCAACCACCAAAAACCTAATAGAAAAAAAAAAACCTCCTAATTACTGAAGTTATTTAGGAGTTACTTGTATTGAGAGATGCAGCTATCCATAGGTCTCAAATGTCACATAGTTTCAGGGTAATAAAGAATATTTAAACATCTCCATTTATACTTCTTAAAAAATGGAACTGAATTTTAACAAGGTAAAGAAAACCATTAATCTCTTTACCTCTAATCACAATTTCATCTTAAAGACTCTAGCAAAATGTAAAAGCGTAAGAAGTACTTTTTAGTTTAACATGGTTGTTCATATGACCAGG